ACAATATTTCGATTCTAGAGTTTTAGCATGAATACTATCTTGAAAAAACTTTTCAAGGTATTTAGAAAAAAAACAAGCAACAATTTTACAGCAAGAGTAATGTTTTACTTTATCATTAAAAGAATATATGCGTGTCAAATTTTGACGAAAATATATGAGAATTTAAATTGCCTTCAATGGTTTTCTTATAAAAATTGGAGGAAGATATCTCCGATTTCAATTAATCACTTTTCCTAATTTATGGGTACCATTTTCATATGATTTAAGAGTATGCATTTTAGAGAAAATTTATATTAGGCATATACTGAGATTCAACTGAATAAAAATTGCATAGTAAATTGCATTAGTGCACAGTGCGCTGAATGAAATAAGTTTTCATCAACTCTAAAACTGTGTTATCACATAAGAGCGTTTTTTAAAAACACTAGCTTTGCCACTTTTCATTGACTCAAATTTGTATCTGAAAGTGCAGATTTTTATTTTAAGTATGGTTCAAAATAAGTTGAAGTATATTTGGTTTTTTGTTGAATATGTGTTTACACTGAAAAGAATGGTCAAAACTACAAGAATATGGCTAAATTTGCCGTATTTCTGGCTCTATGTGAGCACCAAAAAAGATTGGAAAATTTTATCGAAGCGCTTTGGTAATGATTTTGGTGAAACTAATAATAAAATATTATTTCATAATAATTGATAAAATTTGGTAGTTTGGTAGATATCTTAGAAATTTTATATTTTTTGTATGAGTGATAATAATAACTATAATTTTGAAAACCAGAATTTACGGTAAACCGTTTCCATATGAAGGGAAAAATTACCACACGAATGGTTTAAGTATCGTATATTTTGGTTTTATTAACCAGAATTATGGTTTTATTTTACCAGAAACGTAATTACCGTACAGTTCAATGATTTTACCAAAAAACGTTTCTCCGTAAAATACATTTAAGATAAAGACAGTGGTGTTTCTTCTTAAGCTAGATATATATGTAACTGAAATGAAAATAGTAAAATCGCAAATTTGTTCGTTTTTTAAAAAAAAAATACTATTCAAAGTAAACAGAAAAATGTAAGCACACGTTTATGTTTTTATTAAAAATGTTACCAATAAATTTCAGATAATCATAGTGGTGTTCTTCTTTAATCCACCGAGACATATTAAATTAGAATTAATATATTTAAAGTGCAGATTTGCATTTTAAATATAATTAAACCTTTTTTTAATATATTCCTTAAGCCACAGTTACATTTATTATTAAAATAACGATAAGAAAATTGCGGATTAGTATTTTAACTATTGAAAACTGTTTATGTTTTTATTTAATATATAAGCAATAAATTTAAGAAAATCAGAACGTTGTTTTCTCTCAAGCTACAGATATGAGTATAATTAAAATAGAGATAATGAAACCGCAGATTTGTATCAAAAAGTTACAAAAAATATTATTATACCTATACTAAATTAATTTATCAAAATATTTCCTACTTTACCAGCTTGTTCTTTAATCATTAAAAGATTTAGAATTTGAAAATGAAAAAAATAAAGATACTTTAATTATTAATAACTTCTTATATTAATTAAATATTAATCTTTTACTTTGAAAACTAATCTTCTCATCTTAATTTGAACCAATAAGCTAGAAGATGTTTTTCATTACTTCTATTTGTCTTCTTGCAAAGAAAAAACTCATTAAAAATAAATATTTTCATTACGAAAGAGTACAAACGCACTGTGAGTTAATATGTAAGCTTAAAGGAAAAATGAAACAAGCAATTACATACTAGACAATCCAATTAATTTAACAAACAACGAGAACAGTTAGATAAAATATTTCATTCAGTTGTGGAAAGATTAACTACTATTCAGTTAGAAAAAATAACTACCATTGTAATTCAGACATCGAAATGACATAGCTAATAATGAAAAAAAAAATAATATTGAAAAGGCATCGTTTTTTAAGTTAATGTTCCTTTTATTAAATATTAATGCATTAAACATTCACCTTTGCCATTTAAGTTTGCTCTTAAACTTTATGTTAATCTTATTACCTTTTAAATGTAAATATTATTAAATATATTTAAACGCTAATTTAATTTTTTTTATAACATTGGATATTCTTAAGGAAAAATTATTTGAAATTTGTAGTTTCATGGTATTTTTTGTATTTTTTCCTTTTTACAGAGTAAGAATGTTATATTTATTCAATACAATTACTTAAGTTCAATAAAAAAATTTCCCATTTCGAAAGAAAAAAAAAATGAATAAATTGCCACTCCACGAAACAAATGGTAGACGTACGTCATGTTTGATATCTACGTTTGTAATTATTCTTTTTTTTAGAAACGTACTGATACAAATACCTTTTGGGATGATTAAATAACAAAATCGTAAGGATTTTTTAGAGAATATATATATAATTCTATTTTAAGGCTGGCTACAAAAAAATAAAAATAAAATTTACACGGAGAAAAATCTAATAAAATTACCGAACTGTATAGTTATGAAATTTATGGTTAAAAATTATAATAATAATAATAATTCTGGTAATAAAACGAAATTATATGTTATTGGAACCATTAATTTGCTAATTTTTCCGTTCATATGGTAACGGTTTACCAGAAGTTCTGGTTTTCAAAATTATGGATTTTGTTACCACACATTTAGCACAAAATACAAAACTGAAAGGTAAATTTAACCAAATGAATTGTATTAAGGACTTGCCCTAAAGTATCATGATAAATTACCAAATTTTATCACATATTATGAAACCATGTTCTTTTTTTAAATTTACCTGAATTATTTCTGAATCGTGCTCCCATGGAACCAAAAAACACTATAAAGTTTACTGTATTCTGATAATTTTGACCATATTTTTTTCATTGTATCGAATTAGTAATTAGTAACTTTACTCTGCTATTTTAGCTTTGTTTTAAACAGAAATTATATTTATTCTATGCAAATATTTGAATTAAATAAGAAAAGATCTTATTGCGAAATAAAATAAATAACTTACAACCTCTCGAAACAACTCTTCCCATATAGAGGTGCTTTACGTTTAAATTGTGTTTACTTTTTCCTTTCAGAAACGTAAAAATCAACCACTTTTTGTTATCATTCACTTTGAAAAGTGAATTATTTGATTTTTAAAAAAAAGATATTTAAATGCGAAGGTTTATTTGCTGAAAAAAATTAAGCCCCATAAAATTAGCACTGCAACAAACGAGAGAAAAATAAATTAGATGGTATCAAATCCCCATCAGATATGTTAATTATGTAGTTTTAAGTCTCATAAAATTAGCATTCGCAGTTGGTAGTTTCAAATCCTCTTAAAAACTTTTAATTATGTTATTTTAAAATGTCCCTAAAAAGTTAACATTTACCTGAAAAACAAGATAGTCGTTTTAAACAGGCTCAAATTTACTTTGAACATTTTAAATATATGGTAATAAACTTGGGAACTCGTTTCCAAAAATCATATCATGTTTTTCTCTTGGGATTAATTCATTTATATATTGACAAAATGTATGTTTTTCCCGAACTAAATGGTACTTTTCTTAACCTTTCGAAGCAGATGAGATACGGGTATTTATATTTTTATATACTTTTTCTGTCGCTCCAATTGTAAGAAAGAAAATAGTTTGGTATTTTTTAATTATGAAAAAACAGCCTAATAGTTACTGAAAAATTTCTTAAATTACCAGACAAATATTTCTACTAAAATATAAAATCCAAAAAGAAAAGAAGTTTGAATTTTTTTAAATTCATAATCAAAAATTTAGCAAAAATTGACTTTATAAATTAAAGAAATTTCAGTAATGAATAACTGTTTCTCTTGGATCTAAATTACTACAAATAAGTTTAAATTTGAAAAATTATTGGTTGCAAGTGAGCCATGTGCGGAAGATTTTTCCTTTTACGCAAAAATAGAAACCGGTGCTTCTTGCTGTATTTCATAACCCCTCAAATTATTAAAATGCTAATTATAATATTTTTCACCTATTTTGAACTAAATTAATGCAAAATAAGGAAAAATATGTTTAATAAAAATTCTGCGTCAAAGAGTTAAATTTATGAGCAAGTATATATATTTATGTATATCTTTTCAGCTATTTTGAAGTAATAAAAATTTATTTGATTAGTATTACTCGCTTTTTTTATGTATCAAATGTTAAACAAGTGCCTTTATAAAAACGAAAGTATCTTTAGTCATTAACTTCTTAGAATAATATTCATATTTTTTTTATGTATATAATTTCTCGTTTTACTCAGTGATAAGAATGCAATTTCACACCAGCAACCTCAGGTAATTGAATGCATTTTAGAATATTCTATAATATTTTTAAGAAATAAATTGATTTGGCGGTATCCTATGAAAAGGAATTTCCACACTGTTTGAAAAATACTAACTTAATCACAAAATCTCTATAAATATAATAGAAAGTAAATGATGTAGAAAGAGGGATGCCTCGAGAAAATTGAAAATGTTTCGCTAGAGTTATTCTTTGATAAACGTGCTCCTTTCCCCTAACTTTATTTTTTTTTATATCTTGTGTACGACAAAATATTTAATTGCAACTAACATCACCTTAATTAAGTTATATTTTTAACTAAAACTCCTTTTATGCCTGCTTCTCAGTGATTAAATTTGAGCGAAATGGGCATAAATGATGTAAAATGAGAATAACTTTTTTTTTTAAATTTTTCTCCATTTATGAACGCGTGCAATTATTTTTACCTAAGTCACTTATTTAAATTTAATGCTTATTAGGTGACAAATGTGCGCCTTACGTTGCTATTAAACAATAAAGATTCATCCCCCAGTTTGCAAAAAGGCAACATTCTCTTTGATGGGCAAAATAAAATAGATTGTACCTAATGGAAGTTTATTTTTAATTTTAAATATCGGTTTGATATCTTTGCAAATATCATAGAAATAAAATGATATTTATCGAAAACATTGGATTATTTTATATAATGTGGAGATATGTGTTCTCCAACTTTGAGCTCTCAAATATGAAACTCTCACTTTTAGTAATTTAGCAATCCTTGATGTGTACTTCGTTAATTTTGAGAATCATTTCGTCATGAAATCACGTGATTTGTGACGAAACACGACCTCGGTGTTGACCTTGTTCTAAGATGATTCCAGTTCGAATCCGGCAGCGTATGGTATAATTTAACATGGATGATGTAATTTAACTCTACTTCTCTATCTGACCATTTTGTGTAGTTGGCAGCGACATTGATCCACCTATATGGTAAGATAAAGTGGTTATTAGAAAAGTTGCAGTAGTCATTAAGAGATTGTAATTTTTTTTATTAGTTAAAAAAAAATGGAATGACGGAATATTTCTTTACTTTTGATAAAATTTGTTTTCTCGAATGAGTGACAATAGTTGTTTCGTCATGTTGACGAAATGTTCTCTAAGAGCATAGACCAGGAAACGGCTTCATCAAGAAACGAGGAAAGTTTGGAGAATTTTAGTAGCAATTTCTTACAGTCTGTTGAAGCTATTGAAAGTAGGAATGTTTTATTTCATCTTTTTTTCTTCCTACACTTCCCAGAAAATCAAAAAGTTAAGCCTTAATTTCCGTTACTTGTACCATAGTAAGATTCAAATTTTCCGAAAAATTATTTATAATTTTTAAGACTATTTTTTATCATTTTTAATTGCTCTATTTATTGAACCACAGTATCTTTTAGCCAAGTGTAAGAAGTGTGATAACATGGTTCACAATATTAAGCCATATTAAGGTTGCAGAAAGTTTGAACATTATAATGATTCAATACTCTCCAAACTTTCTAACGGTATACATACATAAAAGTCATTTTTTGAAAATATAATTCTATTCTGCAAGCTTATCCTTTTACCCTTGCATAATTCATGTCTCTAATTTAGTAAAAATATTTTTAATTGATTTTCCTTTTTTGTTTTTTAAAATTAAAAATTGTTTCAATAAAGATGTTAAAAAGCCTCTTTCATATTATTACGCAAGCATGTTTTACTGAACATGAATAAAATTTTCATATTTTCTAACCGAGTTTAAGATATGGGGAATTTTGTTTCGCAAATAAAATGATGAAGAAATATTTTGCAAATAAAATTATTTTTTATGTTTGAAATGTTAGTTTCTTATTTTTTAAACCTTATGATTTTCTCTATAATCGTATGTTTTACGAAACAAAATAAATACAAATTTATCATTTCTACTTTATTTACCCCATGAATAATTTCTTCTAAATAAAATACACTTATATAAATATTTGAATAACTTATAAACTTTTTTAAGGAAATATTTTACAAATTCTGAAAATATTTCTAACTTTAATTAGATCTACATATTTTTAATATAATTATGGATATGTTTATAAAAATAAGGAGTTATCTGAAGAAAGAAAGTAGTTTTATTTTAAACTTTATCGAATACCAACTTCTCTTTCTAAATCAACGTTTTAGAAGTAAAAATGTTCCAAAAATAAATTTTTGCATCGATTCTTTAAATACTCGAATTTTAGGATAAAAAAATCTACAACTTTATGTATGTTCTACAAATTATCACAGAATTATATTAATGCGAAAAATAAGTTTTGCTTATAATAAGTGTCTCAGCGTCAAATTAAATTCTTTTTTCCTAATAATAGTACTATTTTCTGGAGCATAAAATATATCGAAGAGGTTATCCGATTTTACACAAGGGCTTTCTGACTTCGTAATTTTATTAAGGTTGACACTAATTAATATTTTTTATGGACATAACTGACTCTAAAAAGTCATCTCACTTAGTGTCCTTTTTGCTATTTACTAAACGCTTCTAAACAACTTAGTTTCCTATTTCATCAGTCTTAATCCATGAGAGCTATAAGCGCATTTATGAAGCATAAAAGCTCCAATATGGATCGTGAGATAACTACTACTACTATTAATTAGTTCAGATATTTTAGGTGCTTTATTCCAGTAATGGGCATCATTCACAGAAACTTTATTCATGACTAAATTTAGTCTGAACAAATTTATTCTGAATGATTATTCATATGCAAATTTATTCATTCTTCATCATTCATTATGCAATTTTATGCAAATTTTTGACTATGTACATATGTACAAAACATGTATGTCCAGTATATGTACGCACATATGCATAATATATGCATGCACATAATTGCAATAAATGCCTGTCGAATGTATGTTGGTACATTTGTACAATGTATACATGCCGAATGTATCTATGTGCATATGTACAACATATGTATACAATGTATGTATAATTGTACACACATATATTGTGCTTACGTGAATACATACGTTGAAAATAGTAATCACGATTAAAGGTAATTGATTACATAGCTGTAATTGCCTGTAATCGAAGCCCACTCTTTTATGTACGTCTATGCATGTATATGGAGGCACGTTGTATGAGCTAACTAACGTATATACAGTGCTATTTCCTCGTGCATAAGCAAGTACATTGTGTGAATATACGTATTGTATAGATACCTTTGAACGCGTCTTGCATGTACACATATACTTACGCATTTGTACGTACGTACTTATATTTTTACATACACACATAAACATTTTATGTGTATACGTACATTATGTATATACGTACATTATGTACATACGTACACTGTAATGTATTGGTATGGGCAAACGTACGTCTGCTTGTATACTTGCATATATTGTATGAGCATGTGCATATAGGCATACTTGCATACATTGAGTGTACTACTTAGGTATGCATGTACACATAATTTATATATTGTACGTAAACTTGTACATACAATGTACATAAATGCAGATATACTATGTAATAACCATGTATATAAGCATAAAATAATTCAACATTTTTTACTTATTCATGAAAGCATTTATATACAGCTCTCGTACGCATAAACATACAGCTTAGTTAAGTATGCATGTATGTACAGCATATTTATGCATTCGTGTAGTAACTATTTTTACAATTATATTCGTATTCGAGATTACTTGCTGTCTTTAGATTATGATTGCTGGTAAAAATGACTGCTCATAATCGCACATATTGATTACATTGATTGCTTAAAATAAAAGATTTCGGTCATTTCTAACCATGTACCAGTTAAAATGAAATTCAGCTTATATATGGCTGTACCATATCAATTGGACTAGTTATCAGATACATTCCTACCTTGAAATTTCAATTTTAAATAAATTCGTTACACAGAACCTTAGACTTGTCAAACTAACCCCAGTAATTAAAAACTACTTAGATAGTTGAGCTTAGTTACATACCACTGTCTGTAAGCAAATAATAAGGAGACAAAAATATAGTTAACCACAAATTTAATCTCTCAGTGACAAGAAAAGATATTTTATCGAATTTTATAGTAAGTACTTACAAAGAAAATTCTATTATATTAAATAAATTTATGCTTGAATTTGAAGAGATATTTCTCGATTAGTTTATAACTTCAATAAGAAAGACTGACAAAAATTTTTGCTTATTTATAAAGTTGAATGCACTTTTAATGATTAAATATGCTTTCATATTCAAAGCAGACTTTTTTTAATGTAGAATTAATCAAGCGAAAACGTGGGATTTCGGATTTACAACTTGAGTTCTATATTTTTTCTAAATAGCATAAAACTATCCCCACAGAAAATTGATTACTTTCCACTAAAATTTCAAACTCTAAAATTTGAAAATGCGCAAAACACTTATAAGCCTATATTTAAATTTTTTTTTTCGTTTTGAAGTCTAAGATCCTAATTTATTCCTTAAATTTTCTCTCAAAAAATTATTTTCTAATCATATAAATACTTCAAAAAAACTTCTTTAAAAGTTCAGGCACTAATTTTATGTATATTTTCTATTAATACTTGTTTGTTGCAATAGTACAATATATCTTTGTTTGAAAAACGCTCGTACTCTTAACTCTTCATTATCAATTCATATAATGTGCAGATTTTTACATATTAAAAAGTTTTAGGCTTATATGAGAAACTGTAAGAAAATAAAAGTTTGACGTTACGAAAAATCTTATTAACTTTTCGTACAGCATTAAATTATTCTGTGTGAAAATTACAGTTTAACGTCATAGTTAAAAATTCTCTGTTTTTCATTTCTGAGTTTCAACTTTATTCTCCAGGGAACCTTTTGTAATGCTAGTAACTGAAAAAAATAAAATACAAAAAATGCGCACGCAAATAAAAGACTTATGTAGTCTTAATTTTTATTAGAAAACTTCATGGATTCTAAACTGTGATCCTAAAATCGAGTTAAGTTTGGGAGGTTTTAATAATTATGAAAGCCAACTCAATCCATAAATCTAGAAACTACGTCTAGCAGAACAATTGCTACATAATTAGTACTGGTTTAAATTCAAATGACAATTTAATGAAAAATTAAGTAAGGGAAAGAAAAATTTCAAAATAATTAATTAAAAAATGTTCAAAACGACAAAAGACACTTAATTAAAAAATTATAAATAAACTAAAAATAACAAAGGAGGAACCTATGATAATATTTGTGACAGTGTATCATGCTTAGTTCACCTTTATGCAATACCGCTTGAACTGTTAGAAATTTCTCGGGAAAAATTTTTAAGTAGAAATTCATTTTATTGTTATTTTACCATATTCATTCAAAACAGTCAACAACAAAAAAGGAGAATCAAACTGCTAAGTGGGAGACAAAACGTTTATTGATTGTTTTGTCCTAATACGGTTAAACAACCAGAATTCCACAGGTGGGAATAATATTTTCTAATTATATAAATACTTTAAAAAAATTCTTTAAAAGTTCAGGCACAAATTTCATGCATTTTTTCTATGAATACCTGTTTGTTAACATTAAATTACTCTGTGTGAAAATTAGTTTCCTAATTGTAGTTTCCTATCTATACCCACCTTATAAAACCATTTTGTTCCATGAAACTGGGCACATACTGAGGCTGAAAGGGCTGAACGTTCAATCTTATGATCGATTGAACAGTGGTTCGAATCCCAGCGTTGAAACTACGATATTTCGTTCCTTCATATAATACATGAAAAGTTTCCAGTATCCTATACTCTTCAGTCGGTGATCCTGAACTATAGAAATACGAAACTATCATTCACACATAAATGGCTCAGCAACCACAGAGCACCAATGTCCATTTAAAAAAGTTTAGAAACTATACAAGTCGTAAATTGTTACAAAACAATACGGTTTTTTATTCACAGATTTTTATCCGTACCAGTTGTAAACAAGTTCAAAACCGTATAGGTAAAAAATGTTCCTAACCATAAATTTTATAGTTAATCTGATGGACAGACAGCTGCCGGTTATTTTATCGTAATTTCAGAATAAAAATTCTAACAGTGTATTATTGTAGGCGATTACAGTAGTGCTCCCAAAAATATCTATCCAGGATATCATGAATGAGAGCTAACAAAGACACGTTGTCTGAGATTTCATTGTATTTTTGTTTTCTTTCTTCTTTTCTTTTTAATCCTTTTTCTTTTAATTACTTTTTCAGTTCGATCATTTTATAAATTCTCGAAAAACTTTGATGATTGCCCATAATATATGTTTCTGAAATTTTCTCTCTCCCAAGTAATTCAAAATAACCAATTTATTTATCTAGTGGGAGTTGAATGCAGTTGCATATTGTCAAGAACTGTCGGTAATCTACATCATCAAAAAATTGGTTTTCAGTGATTTTAATCTATCTTTTGCATTTGATGTTCTTAATTGACTTCGTAATTACCTTCTCTCAATGTCTTATTATTTAAAATTATTTTATTTTGTTTTTGAGGATTTGTTTTTTTTTTTCTTTATGCTTCTTTTACTTTTGTAAATGAAATAAAATATTACCATTTTCAATTTGTAAGTGTATAGAGTTTTCATACACTGTCATGTTTTTTTCTCTAAAAATATAAGAACTGGTGACTCAATCTACTTTTTAATTTTATTTCGATGAAACAAAGACTCTTGTGAAGTTATTCACTTACAAGAAGTTATTGATTTGCAATATTTTTAAGACTAAAATGTTTATCACATTAGAAATTACATTCTTAGCTTTATCGCTAATTCACAACCTCTTTCTGTCCAGAAGATACTCTTACTTCACAATAAAGTGTTGAGCAAACGTGACGTCAGCAGAAAATGAGTCAATGAATATTATCCTTATATCACGTATTAAGCAATAAAATCAGGTGAAAAGCCTTAAGTTTGGTGACCTTAAGTTTGGGGTATTTAGTCTTAATTGTAATCAAAAATGCCATAAGCTCTTGGAAAACGACTTGAATGAAAACGCAATACTAAGAAAATTTGTAAACACCGATTAAAATCAAATAAAGCCAATTCATTATAATCTGGCAAAAATCTTAAAATGGTACTAAATTATTTTAGTCTCTATAAATAAAGGAAATACTTTGTTTTTATGAAAAAATTTAATGAGTTGTAAAATTAAGTGAATTTTGTTTTAATTTTAGTATTCAATTTTCATATTTTAATTAATTTCGGAAATATAACTCACTATTATACTTGTAGAATAACCATATATATTTTTTTTGAGGAACTTAACATTCACGAACTATAACAAACGTTCACTAAAAAGCATTTATCGACTTTTTCTAGAAATTCACTATAATAATAAAAAAATAAAAAAATTCCCCCACTGCTATAAATTTTTTCTTATCTTTTCACATGATGCCGAAAAATAAATATATTAATCCATAGGGAGGGAAACACGTGGCTTCATAAATGCCCAACACTCCTGAAATTTCTCTGCACGACAGGATCTGAAAAAAGTACGTGTCAATTCCCTGTCCCACTGGTAAATACTCTTGAATTGAGTTGGTGAAAACATTTTGTTTGAAAAATATAGCAAAGTGAAGTAAATGTTTCACTACTTTTCCTAAACATTTGTGTCTGGAGCTATTAAGGCATAAACAGACAGAATAGGAGTTTCGAATATTTATTTCTCGAATTCTTTTTGGCAATAAATATTGAATATTTCTCTTCGTTTTTTTTTTTTTTTTTTTTTTTTTTTTTTTTTTTTTTTTTTTTTTTNTTTTTTTTTTTTTTTTTTTTTTGTCTAGAAATTAAAAATTTTAAAAGATTAGTTTCCAAGAAACTGTTAGAAATAAAGTAGAGAAAACATGTTTTCTGAGTATATTTTTTAAATTAATTCCAATATGTAATTCCAATGTACTCTAACATCCTATTCATTTTAATGCATCCCAAGTTTGTTATTTTCAATATTTCATCAAAAGCATGCGAAATATTGTACTTCAAAACAATACCTCTGTAGCTGTTGTTATTAAAGCTTCTTCCTTTTAGACATTGCTGCAAAAAAATCATTTTTATAGCTCATGATTAAGAACAATTTAGAGTAAAGTTTTCAGCTCAGCACACAGCAAGAAATTCCAGGAAGAATTACGGTATCGTTTTCGTTATCCGCAGAATCCATTTTTACCGTAAAATATTACACCATAATTTTAGCGGTAATTATTATTGTAAAAATTACGTCATATCAGATTTTTGTTCCGTAACATGTTCCAGTAGAAATGGATTTTACAGTAAAAAGTTCCGGCCTCGTGACTGTCGGACTTTTTGATTCAGAATTTTTTACAGCGTATAGTATCATGCAAAATACCCGGGCATTTAAGCGTATCAGAGATATAAATAATACAAGCTGAAATCATCTGAGGATATTAATATATTAATATAACTTGAATTATATAATTCAAAGTTTTGGACCAATAAAATACTCCGAGTGTGGATTTTTAATCCCCAAACTATAGGGGGTAGCCAATACCAGGGAAATATGGTTCCAGTAGTTTGTCAAGAGAGCGATCCTAAGTTTGTACCACTTTATATTAACTTTACTTTTTACGTATTTCGCCATATATCGAGAGCTTTATAAGCGAATTGAAATATTTTTACACGCAATTATAAGTTTATTTATCCACAGATAACTCCATACAAAAAATAACTTTTAATAAATATATATCATTTCTATTATTTTATTTAAAAATAGTCGAAAAAAAATTTGGAATTTTAAGGTATATAATTATTTACATCATTTTAAAGAATATTATTTTGCATGACAAGATACAAAGTTTGAGTGAAATCGTTCGCATAGTACTTAAGAAATCAAATTTTTAAAAAAGTTATATTATAAGAATTCGATTTCTCAAACACTATTCGACTGATTTCACTCAAATTTTGTATTTTGCCATGTAAAGTTATTTTCCTTAAAATTATATAAGGATTTATGTACCTTACAGTTCAAAAATTTTCTACTATTACTTTAAAAAAATGACAAAAAAATAATAAATATTTATTTAAAGCGATTTTTTGCATGGAATTATAGTTGGATAAACGATTTTATAAATGCGTGCAAAAAATTTTCAATTCGCTTAAAAATTTCTCAAGAAATGGCGAAATACGCCAAGAGTAAAGTTAACATTAAGGGGTCCAGACTTTGAATCGCTCACTTGATCAAACTATTAGGACCATATTTCCCAGATTTCGACTACCCCCTATATTTTTTTGGGGTCAGAAAGCCAAATCCGTAGGAGAAAAAGGCATGTTTTTTGAGAAAAAAATACATTGTTGAGTCTGATTTCGTAACTTAAATTATCGTTTGCAGTAATTAATTAGCTTATTTGAAGTCTTCCATACAAATCATTCAGAATGAGTCCCAGAACATGAAGATCCAATCATTAGATCAAAAGTTATTAAAGGTGATCCATTTTTTTATTTTGCGCACTGTACTTCTTTGAAAGACAATATGTGTGGTTAAAATTAGCGGTAGTGTATCTTTTTTAACAAAAAAAATTATTATCACTCCTGGAATTTTTGTGAGATCAACTAAATTTAGAAATAAATTATCTGGAAAAAGGTTACTTAGATTAAATTATAGTTCAAAACTAATTTTTCTTTTTGAAATGAAAGTGAAAAAGAAATAAACAAAGAAAAGTAAAGATTTGCAAAATGTCAAATGAAAAAAGATTTACTTTACTACTGAAGTCTTCTGCTTAAAGAACTTGGTGCAGCATAGCGATATGCCACACTCTTTCTAAGGGCGTCATTTTTACATAAAATTGTTCACTACTATTATTTCCATATAGATACAATTTTCAAAAATTATTTCTAGATAAAAGCATAATACGCTGAAAATGCTCTCTGAAACAACTTGAATATGAGACTCATCGTTATACTGCTCCAGATACTTAAATTTTATCAATATTTAAAATTTAAGCTATTTTTCAGAAAGTTTTATTCCTTTATTACTTTATTATCTAAAAAAATATGTTTCTCAATGGGTAAAACTAATAGCCATCCAAAAATTTTGCCCCTTCCTATAAAAAATGATTAACCGTCATTTTAAATACTACCTTAATATAAATTTCAATAGTGATCATACATACAATTTAAAAGAATTTAAATGCTTAAAAGCAAATAACTCATGAATCCAAACGTCTACGTAATACTTAATTCTCACTATTCTTACAATATTTATTCGCCTTATTTAACTTGTGTTAGTTTCTATCAACTCTTAACTTGTCGTTGCATTTGAACTCTTAACTTACGACATATCTCCCTCCCTCTCAGTTTACCATGCGCCTTACGTAAAAATAATTACCCAGATAACGTATGCTTTTAAAGATGGATGAATTCTACAACTCCATGCTGGCATCACACCTGCTAATAAGAGTATTAAGCCACTAAAGCTACTGGTTGTTTCATGAGAGGAAATTATTTAGATGTGTAAATTAAATGCAAATTAAGTGTAAAAGTCTCCTCATTACACGAATTTTGTATTATGCATAACTTTGAACAAGGAGAAATTAATTTCGAGCTGAAATTTTCCTGTTCATGCTGGTTTCAGAATGTCTTGTCTAAGCAAATGATTGCAACTCCTGACATTTTGAATCTAATTCGTGTATAAATAGAAATGGACATTTAAATTAAGGAAATAATCTCTGATATTTAAGTAAAGGTTTTATTTGTCGAATATAATGTGCTTAAATTTATTTGAAATTCATAATTGAAAAACATTGTTCTTAATAACTAATTTTTATCAAGAGTGAGGGAG